GCCTAACTCCCAGAGTTCAGCTGAGCTGGCCTATTGCGATTTCTCGTTGGTTGAGGTTAGCTTTTTACCAACAGCACATGGTTTGCGGCAATTGTTAGCTTTTTCCTTGTAGGTGGCGTGATACCGTGATACATCGTGTGCGCTATTGCGAGAACGGGAACGAGAACGTGATTGTGAACGCGAACAAGAGTTCGTACGTGATTTGCGGCTGTCTAGCAAATGGTGGACATCGCGTGAAAGTGCTGCTATTTCTTTCTGAATTTGCTGGAAATCACCCAGCGTCGACGAAACTACAGCTACTTCCGCCTTGGAAGCGTTCAAAGACTCTATAATGGAATCTGCTATTCTTAACCTCTGAGCCAGCTGAACATCTGCTGCTGTAATTGCTCCACGTGCATGTCGAGGTAATCGGCCGATCCAAAGGTTCAGAAGCACGCCGTCAATCAGAGATGTACCCGCCACGCGTTTCATCTCATTGTAGAACTCACTTGGCCTCCTGTTCGCGAGAGGCATTTCTGAGAGCACCCTCTGCAAGCGGCGCTGCTCACTGTCACCAAAATGCTCGACCACCTTCTGCTTGATGTACGCGTACTTCCCTGTGGTAGGCGCTGCTTCGATTGCTGCTCGCAGCTCGATAAGCCGATGTGGAGGCACACTTGCCAAAACGATGTTGTATTTTCGCGTGTCTCCAATCACCATAGATGCTTCGAACCAGAATTCGAGGGAGTAGAAGTATGCCTCGATGTTGCTTTCTGACAAAGCCGGCAGAGGCAGCTTCGGCAGTGAAAGTGTGTGCATACTCTGCATACTCCTCGAATCTGGCGCTTGTATAACACTGCTGTCGCCATCCATTGTGCGTCGGGGTCACCAGTTGTAGGTTTTACTTCTCTTTATTAATTTATATTAATTAATTACAAAACTTACAAAACTATTAGGTTAGGATGACAAGTGTCGGGAAAAAGATGAAAAGCGAATGAATGAAAAGATTTTGACATTTCTTAAGGTTTCGTTGGCTGTGATTTGTGCTGTTGGAAGTTGTGTCGACAACAGAGTTGCCACATATATATAATGACGAGGTTGGGAAATAATTTCGTGTTACTTTTACTAGGTTTTTCCAGTACAAATAGGTATGCACATTTATTCAATTACATCAATTCTAATGTTTTGAACTTAAATGGTGCGACCTATGCGACCTGAAGCGCGCCTAGGAAGGGCTATAAAGGCCTTATTTTCGGATTCAAAACTATGCGGCTGTTGGTTTCATTTATGCCAGGCGGTACGACACCAAATAACAACAAAACATAAGCAACTGTCTCATTCGACAAGACAGTAAGGCATCATTGGAATACTACAAGCTTGTATAACTTCCTCGGTTGCCTGCCGCGCGTATAGTTTGAGAAAATTAAGGACGATATAGAAAACCTCGAGCGTCATTTCCATTTTATGAACTTTTTGGAATACTTCGAAAAGCAATGGTTAACGAAAGTAAGCACTTCTAAAGAAAACTAGTATAAGAATAACACTTCTAAAGAAAACTAGTATAACTAGTATAAGTCTTGTTTTTTGTTTTTTATTAATATCAAACACAGATTGGACGACACGGAATGTCAGTTTTTGGGACACCGACATGAAAGACATCTGCCGTCGAAGGATATAATGAGCGCTGGCCAAAATGATATCCAAACAGAGAAACTTTTAGAAATTTGTCAAAATTTTACAAACAGAGGAGTTTAGCAAGTCCCGAGATTTCGAATTGCTGGCTAATAGCGGTGGAGCTTTGGGCAGAACTAAAAAAAAAAGGAAATTGGTGTTTCCGAAAAACAGTATTGTTAATGAAATGGAGCCCGAAGGAGATATTTTTGAAGATCACTCTTATCTTGAAGAAGATGGAGAAGAGGAGTAGGAAAATAGCATTTCAAAATTTGGGGATTATTTAATTTTTCTTGGAACTTATGTATTTTTGAGTTATTTCAAATTGTTTGGGACTTGTTGTTTCATTATGAAATAACTCCAAAATATTGGGACTTATTTCATTTCCTTCTTTGGGAGTTATTTCATTGCTTTAAGTTAGGTGTTGTTGTAATTTTTATTTCAACTTATTTCATTGGGTGTTATTTCATTGGGACTTATTCCATTTGGGAGTTATTTCACTGTACCTCCAAAAATGCATGTGAAAAAGTAAAGTCGGAATTTTTATGCTCTCAACCCCTAGGATTCTTCTATACCGAAAAAAATATACCCTTACTTTTTATTTTGAAATCAAAAAATATTTAGAGGTCGCTCAAAGCGGTGCCCGAGCCTCCCCCCTATCTTCCAAAATTTTTCCTATATATTCAAAACTAGTACAAGGAAATTCTTCTTCTTCTCTTCTTTTTTTTGGCGCTGTAACCGCCTTAGCGATTTTGGCCGAGTTCAGCAAAGCACGCCAGTCGTTTCTCCTCTGTGCCAACTGACGCCAATTGGAAACGCCAAGTGAAGCCAAGTCCTTCTCCACCTGATCTTTCCATCGCTGATTACTCGAGTAATTGATTAACCGAATAATTGATTAACCAACTTGCTCGAGTAATCGAATAATCGCACAGCCCTAATCTGTATAGTTGTAGTAACATTGAACCACAAGATGCATTTTGAAGTTTTCTGGCAGCATTTTCATTCGATTTTCGCGAAGAAAAGCCTTGAATGTACTAAATGTGCGCTCGACGT